AGTGTCACCCCCAAGCAATGAAGGGGCTGATTTGTCGCCCGTTAGCGATCCGGGGCCAAAGCACCCTTAGAATACTCTTCGGTCTTTGAGCGCGTAGCGGCCAGCGTGGTTATCAGACATGTGCAAGTACCGACCGCGCAGGGAGAAATACCATGCTCTTGGTTTGAGATCTTTTGCGCGGTGCTCTTTAAGTTAGTGTGGACCGCATTGACATTTTGATTGTATCCCCACGTCGGATCAACCATGCAGACGATGGATATGGACGGTGAAAGCAGAAAAAAACACCGAGCCAAGACAGTGAAAGAAAAAAAAAAACGGGATTCATTCGCCCCGCCCGACGAGACGTCTGTAAAATGGTCACATCTCCGTGCCTTGTTCTGGGTGCTGCCAAGAACAAAAACGCAACCACACAACAAGACGTACAAACAGCCCCACAACGGCGCTACAAACAACAAGACTAACGCGGCGACACTCCACCTCCGCGGTGATGCAACGCACAAAATAGCCTGCATCCCCACATTGATAGGCATAGGGCATGGCAGCAAGCCGCCGCCGAAAAATCGCCGGGCCAACCATGCACGACGGAAAAAAAACAACGTGCCTTGTCGCCACACAACATTACATCTCCTTGCCGTGCCTTGTGGGCGCTGCCGAAAGCAACGAAGGCACAACAACACAAGGAACGATGCAGCCACACTACGACATTACCAAATAATACTCTCTCGCTAATGCCAGAATGGCGTAAAGGGCGAGGTGGTGAAGTGCCGCGCGGGAAACAAACGGCATACACATAGTTGTGCTGCCGGGAAATTACGCTTACGGAAAGTAAGGGTCTGCAACGGACGGACCAGTTGCATCTCTTTAATCTTGTACGCCACCACCACAAAAAACCACCACTTCGATTCGCATCTACCCTGCCCTGCCGCCAAACGTCTTCATCCCTAACTTACGTGTGTTGTGGCCCATCCGAGCGAATATTACGTGTCAACTAGAAAAAAAGAAAAGGCTACGCCAACATGCATCTCTAAGTCAAGATGCAGCCAAAGACCCCACCAAACATGGTATTCGTCACACGTGATATAGGAGGAGGTTAAAAAGTATTGAGAAGACACCAGCACAGCCGGCGCCGTCCACAACAGATAAGTGCTAACCGCCCGCGCCCTACGCACCCGCGTGCCGGCTACCTAGCCATCCTCACTAGCTGCCGCCGTTTCTTTTCTGATTTGGGCCCTCACGGTCGTCGCCCGGTCCCGCAAGAGCTGTAGGTCTTCTTCGTCAGAGTCCTTGATTTCCTGGAGTTCTTTGCGGAGAATGGCGATATATTCGAGTTTGGCCGCCTTGTTCTCTAACCCCTCCTTCGTGTCGTAGAAGGATGTCGGGGCGTCGGGGTACGTGGGTGCGGACGACGTTCCGAACAGGCCGTCAAGGCCGAGCTCCCCCTTCACCGCGGACATAGCGACCTTCGCCGTGTTCTCGATCTGCGCGTCCTGCTTCTTC